CTCAGAAAAAAAAAAAAAAAACCACTATATAAATAACTACCTCAAAAACTACAATCAGATCATCTAAATTTCTTTTTTTAGTAATGTACATGATCATCGTTGAAATATGTCAAGAAGAAAATCTAAATAAAGCCCAATAATCCAGATATCCAGAAACAGCAACTGTTAATATTTTAGAGTATTCCTTCTAATGTTTCAATGTATATAACGCTAAATTGTTCATTTTTTCCTTGACAAAATTGGAATCATATACAACTATGCATTCAGCTTTTTCACTTTGCTGAGCATTTACAATGATATCTGAAATGTAAATGATTTTTATTAAACACTCCAATTGATGTAAACCACTGATGAGTGTTACTTGACATACTTACCTTTTACTGGTAAAGGAGACTCAATACCCCAAATTTAAGAAAAAAGGCTAATTAAAAAAACAACCAAAACCAAGAATCACCACTGTAGCACATTTCCTCAAGTAATTTAATGAAGACAAAATTGAAAGAATATTCATTTGACATGCTCCATAATACATATTGATAGATTTTATTTAAAAAAAAAACACCTGACAATAGAGATGAAAAACAAGTTGTTTTAATATTTGGGGGGGCTCTTGATATCAATGGCCCTTCCAGTGATAGGTCATTGTGATATACTGTGAGGTCACTGTAAGGCTCAAATGAGTTAATACACACAAAGCACAGACAACAGTATCTGACATATAATAAACGCTAAATAAATATTGGTTATTACTATCCTCATTATTAGTTCCAGATGGAAGCAATGTATACTGCATGGAAAAGAAAGGCAGAAAAGAACCCACTGAGATATGGAACTACACATTCTTTTTCTTTTTCTTTCATTTTTTTATCTTCTTTACATTTATATTATCCTTGGAGATCACTTTAAATACTGCTGTGAAAGTATCATTTTAAAAGCATTAGTAAATATGTACCCTATCCTTAATTATACTATAAGACACTTGAGGGAAGAATAAATTTTTCTAAATTTTCCCTCTATGGTAGAGTACAGTAATATGCACAGTGAGTACTCAATAAATATTAATGTCACAAATCCTCATAAAGAAACAGAATAATAAAAATGACAAACAATAAACAAAAATTGGGATGATATTAAAAACAAGAGATCTCAAAGCCAGTACCAATACACAACAATACAAAGACATATACAGTAGAGCGAAAAACTGAGGTAAAAAGCTTTGCTGTTAATCACAATGAACAGACCACACTGTCTTTGCTCTTCTCTGGATACAACAATTCAGGAGGAATACTAAAAACACTGGATTATGTCTAAAGGAGAGCAACTGAGAAACAGTTAAAGAAATGAGGATGCTCAGACTGTAGAATGGAGAGGACCTCCCTCCTGCTCCCCTTCCCCATCTTCAACAATGAGAAAGAGCTATCCTATAGGAAATGATTTAAGATTTCTTTGTTGTCCAGAGGCAACTATCAAAAGATGGCAGCTATAGAGACCTAGACTTTCCTCAACTCAAAAACTTAAAATAACAGGTCTCTTCTAAGACAAAGATGTTATCAGAGATCAGTCATGAAGGTATTCAAGTAAAGGCTGGAAAACATCCAAGCAAGAGATAATTGGTTAGAATTCTAAGTTTCCTTACAACCCTGCAACCACATCAAGAAATATTACTGAATGTCTGCTCCAGGAAGGACACTGTCCTAGACCTACAATATATATGAAAACAAAAAACAGAGAGAGAGAAATACACAAAGATCTCTACTGCCAAGAAATTCATCACAAACAAATATAAAATGTACATTACAGTTTGAGACCATAGTAGATGTCACAAAGCACTATTTATTAACTGCCAATTCATATATAAAGGTCTTCTAAGAAGGAGAAAGCCCTAAGGTTAAAATGGTCAGAAAAGGGTTTTTAGAATAAATGAGATATGAGGTACTTACGGAAAAACGTGTATGAAGGTTCTGAACAGGTGGAGAGAAGTAGAAAAGAGGGAATAGCACAAATACAAATGAAAAGCAAGTTAGAGAGAAACCTGTTTGGCTGCATTAAAAACTTGTTTCCTGGGAGAAGAGATAAGCTGAAATGGCAGGTTGTGGCCAGAATCAAACTATACTAGGCCTTGAATACCAAGCTAAGTAGTTTCAAATTTGTCCTGCATACAGCATCTGTAGCAACTACCCAACTCTGCTGTAGCCACAGACAACAGTAAACAAATGGGCATGGCTGCATTCCAATAAAAGTTTATTTGTGAATAATGAAATTTGAATTTTATATATTGCCATGTGTCACAGACTTTTATTATTCTTTTGATTTTTTCTAACAATGTAAAAATGTAAAACTCATTCTTAACTCATGGGCCATACAAAAACAGGCTGTGGGCTGGATGTGGTCCACGGGCTGTAGTTTACCAACCCTTGTACTATGCTAAGCTACCTTCTTCAGCAGTCCTCTAAGGTACATCTGTCCTTGAGCTTCGGGGACCAGAATAATCTATTATTCATTCAACAATGGCACGCACGCATGAATGCACATGTCTAACCAAGATCTAAATCTAGTAGGAATCAGAGGTACCCTATATAAAGGTCCTCAAAAAAAAAACCCCTCCAAATTGTTGATAATAAGCCATTAGACCAGAAGCAAAAATTTTGTAATTTATTTTCATATAGTAAATGTTCTTAGAGAGTTACAAACTATCCTTACAGAGCCTCTCAGTTACATGGAGGGACCTGTAAAATAGAGTAAAATCAAGGGGATGTGAGTTCTAGTCCTAGCTCTGTCATTTACTCCTTACATGACCCTGAGCAAGTCACTGGCAATCCTCTGGCCTTTATTTCTTCATCTGTAAAGTGAAGGGCTATAAGTTACTAGATGATCACTATGTTCTCTCTCAGCTCTAGCTCTGTATGATTCTACTCCTACTTAAAAAGACCAGACAGGAGATGACAAAGACCAGACAAAAGTGATAATTAAGGACACAGAAAAGAAGAGAAAGGCATTGACTAAAAAGGTGGGCAGATATGACAAACAGGTAGGAAAAAAGACCAGAAAAGTACAGTATGCTAAAACCTAGGAATGGTTTTGTTTTGGTTTTTTTTTTTAAAGTATCAAATGCAAAAGAAAACTCAAGGACGAGAAGCAAGCAAGAACTCAAGAAGAGGAGTATGGCCATCAAGAAAGAACTAGTTAGCTAGCTAAAAAAGGCAAGGACTTCAAGTGATAATCTTAAGACTTAGAGTACTGTGCATGCTTCCAGGAATCATGCAAGGAGCCAGGGAAAAAGAAAAGACTGAAGATGAGTCTAGGGAATAGAAGATAAAGGCATAAAGTCCAGAAAAAGTAGGGGGGAAAAAAGTTAAGATGAGCTTGAAGCCTCAGGTAAGAGAGTTAGTAGTCTTAAAGGAGAGGCATTTAATCTTTAAAATCCAAAAGGTAAAAGCAGCATTATAGTTATCAGTTTTTACACAATAGATATATTTCTGCAAAGCCGCATATCTATATCATGTTTTCTATAAATCAAATTATTAGGGAAATAAATCTACTGCTGAGTTTTCTTAAAGCGAAATTCCACCTATATTATATTTTCTAATAGTTAAAAAAAATTAAGAAAGGACTAACTTTGCTTATGATAAGAATGAAAACCAGCAATATGTTGCTCTAAAAGAAAATGCACGTTTATATCTTTTTTATAGCACCTATCAATTCCATCCTTGCCTAAGAGTTACCACTTATGTAGTAAGTACCTTGCTCCTAATTGGAGCTCAACGAATTCTAGTGTTCCTTTCTTAGTATCTTTGAAAACTCCCAAGGCAAGAATTCTGATTAATTCATCTGTTTATCTGCTTTGCACAGAACTGGTGATGCTTGATGAATAAATACTGACACATGATAACTGAGTTTTAAAAAAAATTGTCCTTGCAAAACAACCATTGTCTGATAGAGTTGGAAAAATATTTGTATCAGAGATAGATAACTCCAATATCACTGTTGCAGTGTCAGAGCTTGCTTAAGTAGCAACAAATTGCTACCAAGCAACTAAAAAGCAAAAAAAAAAAAATTTTAATGAACATCCATCATAAATATCAAGATCCTAAATAGCTAATTTCAACCGACACTTGCCTCTATTTAAGGTATACGAGAAATAAAAATCCAAACCATTAGCCCTGATGATTAACCAGTTAAAAATACACATTTGGATACGCTGAAGATATTTATAAAGCCAACAGAGATACTATTAGTATGTTGAAATTCACTGGCCAGTGCTGGATTCTGCCACTAACCTTCTACTACTATTCAAGAGAAGCCACGACTTCTCATATCACTTGCTTTTAAGAATTTAAGAAGTCGCCCCAACTGGCATACACAATCCAACTACAAAAAGTAGTTCAGCTCTCCATATGGTAATGTTCAGCTATCTCCCACCTTTCGGTGAAAGTCACATTTACTGCTTTTCAACGATCTTCCGTAGGCCCCACTTAGGCAGGCCAATAGTACTACTAAGTAACAGGAGTTCAAAAAAGTCGTAACAGTTAACTCTGCCCTCCCACAGATCCCAAGTTGGGTGTAGATTTCACAAGCCCTGAAAGGGCTACACCGCCACTGTCAAAACCAGAAGCAGCACAGTCACCCTGTCGTGCCCATCAGCAACTGTTCCAGAATATTTTCTCTGAGCGCACCTCTCTATCTTGGCTCGACATGGTAAATAAGTACTTAAAAGGCCACCTTCTCCCCCGAAGCAGGACCTGATTCCTCCCAGTGCGCTCCTTTATTTGTCCAGCCCCACAAACCCGAGGTGGGAGGTCTCGGCTCCCCCGGCCTTCCAGACCCAGCCCGGGCTCCCAACTGCTCGCCGCACCCACCAGACACCCCACCACCGCCACACACCTCCTCCCCACCCCCGGCCGGGCCCGCAGGCGAGCCGGGCCCGCAGCCGGCCTCTCGCCCGGGCCTGCGCTGCCTCGAGCGGCCGCAGGCCTCGGGCCTAGCCTCCGCTGGCCCCTCACCTCTTTCGGGACCAGTTGGTTCTCCTCGCCGGGCACCATCGCTCAGACTCCGGCCGCTCCTCTCCGCCCTGCCGGGGGAGGGGGAGGGTGGCGGCGGCTCTCTGCCTCACGAGAGAAGGGCAGCGGCAGGCATCCTCTCCACCGCCCGCCCTCCGGCAACCGCGGAGGCCTCAGCCACCAGCGCGCAGACAGCGACCCACCGCTCCGCCGCCGCCGTCGCCTTCGTCGTCGGCCCCTCCCCCAGCCCGCTGCAATCAATGGAAAAATGGCGGCGGCCGCTCTCGCGAGAATTCGGGCCTTCGGGCTCCGAGCCCGGCGCCTGGCGCCCGAGGTGCCGAGGCAGCTGTCGCTCGCGTCTAATTACCTCAGCTCTTACTCAGCCCCGGGATGTAGTGCAAAATCGGCTGAGCGGCCACGCAAACGCTTTTTGTTAGAGGGATTCTGGACCGTCCATGTCGGGACTCCCTCTGCCGGCAGAGAAAGGACCAGACCTGGGTCCTCCATGCCTTCTCGGACTCTTGGGACTCCCTGGCCACCAGGAGAAGACTGGAGCCTAAAGCCCCGCGCTGACCCTACCTCCAAGACTGTTCTCCCTTCCCGTTAGGAAAGCGCCCTAACCTCCCCTCTTCACATACCCGTGGCCTCTTCCTGGAAGAAAGCACACGGGCTCCCTCCCGGCCTCCGCCCTCAGCCAGAAAGGGCTGCGTTTTCTTTCCCCCGCCTCCCACCCTCCTAATGGCCTCGGCCCGAGGGACCTCAAGGCCCATCTCCTGCTAGGGGAGGCAACAGCCCTTGTCTCAAGAGAAATGGTGTCACATCTCCCCCACACAACACACCCTCCATGAGAGCGGCGCTCTCCGGCCCCCCTAAAGGGAACTTTCTTCTCCAACAGGTTCGAGTCTGGAACTGGGACAGCTTCAGCGAGTAGGGCGCTAGTTTGAACCTATGGTCTTCTTTAAAAATGTTTTTAGAATACTTTACTCTCCTCTGGCAGTAATTGCAAAACAAATTGTTATTGCAAAAACAAATTTTGCAGTATTTTTCCAAATCCTAGTCATTCCTCATGAAGGAATGAAGATTTTATGAAGATTCAGTGGGGTGTCCTTCCTGAAAACTTCCATGGGTACAGTGATTTGACAGCATGCTGAGATAATAGAATCCCGCCACGTTCCTAACACCCACAGCATTAACTACCTGTACCTGTGCTCTCCAAAATTTTTGATTGCACTCCCCTATTACCAAAAAAAAGTCTATATACGTGTGTAAGTTATGTACACACTGTGCATGACATAAAACATTTTTAAAACGTAAAAAGGATAAGATAAATATGAAATAAACGTTTAAAGTAACTGTAAGAGTTATTTTTTATATTAATGGTATTAAAAAATCCTTGTTACTCTCACTAAAAATATTTAGTGAAAGCCATATGATTGACTAGGTTTCAGTGGTTTAAAAAGCTTTGATACTTTGTGAAACAGTTATTAAAATGTCTGATTCAACGTTCAAGTTATTTCTGTACTTCATTTTAATGGCTGTCATAAATTCAAAAATATAACTCACAAAGATATGTAGATTCTAATGGAAGAAGTACATCTTTGGCTTCTCTTACTAACTCAAGTATCCATTTTTATCACTTCCATCCACCAAACTCAACTAGTAACTTTCTGTCTTTCCTGATGTCAGCCAGAAGATGTTGCATTTTTATATTTTTAACAAATGGGTTCAAAACTCTTTGGAATGCATTGCTTGGAAGAATTTTTAATAGGTTGGAAAATTCTGTCTTCAAGTTTTAGTGTACTGTATAAGATTTTTTAGGGTACGGATCTTGTCTCTATTTAAAATTTTGATATTTTGTTCATCATAGATTTTTGCATTAATTTTGACTTTTTAAAATAGTGCATTAAGAAATTATTTATATTGATTACTGAGTTATGGGCACCCCATTAAATTTTGTGCCCAAGGTGAATGCCTTACTTGCCTCACTGTAGTCCCAAGCTTGGGTAGCACACATACATCATTTTTGCATCAAAATCACATAATGGAAATACTTCCAAATCTCTGATTTCAAAATGTCATCTCCATTACTATAAGACGGCTTTTGTAGGGCTCATGCTAGAGGTAGATGTGTCATCTCTACTATCACCTTTTTTGCTTATGCTTACATTATTACCTCTAACTCATGTTTTCTTTCCAGAAATATTTAACTACTTTCATTTTAGTGAGGGTTAGTTTAATGAAATAATAATGTAATTGGTAAATCTACTTAACCCAGCACATATAAACTGGAATAAATCACAAGATATTAAAGGGAAAGATAAGAAGAAATTCCTGGATTATTCTCCCCATTCCATGACTCACACTTATTGAGAAGCCAGTGTCCACCTATATATTAAATATTTGTAAGACAATTTCTTTTTTTTGTTTTTAGATAAATGTAGATATTAAAAAAAGTTCTAATATTTTCTTCTCAAGATCCATGTTCTCTGGTTGCATACTCTTCTCCTTAGATGCCACTGGCATGACTGAACTAGAGCCTGATTGATAGGTGGGTAGATATACATAAATATTTGTGGAATAAGTATATGAATGCATGAATTGATTAATAGACAAACAAATAGGGATGTATGACTACTCTTCCTAGGAAGTTAAGTTACTGATATTCCATGTATCCGGGTTTGTTTATATTATATATTGATTTTATGTTGCCAACCCTGACCTCTCCATGGACTCCAAACTCATGCATCCATCTACCTTTTAGATAACTCAAAACATCTGGAATTTACCTTGACCTAAACAACACATTTGATTTCCAAGGCTCCCCAACCTTCCTCCTGCAACATATGCTCTGTCAGTTCTCCCCACCTCAATAGATTGTACCATCATCAATTCAGTTTATCAAGCCAAAAACCTGAAAATCTTCATCTCACCTTCAATTCGTTACTAAGTGCTATTGCTTCCTCCTCTTAAATATATCCCAGATCCAACCACTTTTCTTTATATCTGCTACTGCCCATCCTACTCCAATCATTATCTTTTCTTGCCTGGACTACTGCAATTGTCTCTTAACTGGGCTCTTGGCTCCTACATTTACCCCTAACAATTCATACTCCATACAGAATCCAGAGTCATCTTTTCAAAATATATCAGACTATGTCCTTCTCTTAGTTAAAACCTTTCAAAAAGTTCCCATCCCACTCAGCATAAAATCCATATTCCCTGCCATGGCCCATAAAGCCCAATGTAATGTAGCCCCTGTCTGCCTTGCTCATCTCATCTACGCTCTTCCTCTTACAACAATGACCCAGCCACTCTGCCTTTATTGAAGCTGTTAAAATACATAAAGTTTACCTCTGCTACAAAGCTTTTGCACTAGTTGTTCCCATTCCCTGAAATGTTCTTCCCCCAAATCTCTGCTGTTATCTAGTTCCATCGTGTCATTTGCGCTTCTCGAACGTTACTCCTCGAAGAGGCCTTTTGTGACCATTCAATCTAGGCTGGTTATCCCTAATGTATCCTCTGTGCCTAGAACAGTGCCTGGCACATAGTAGGTGCTTAATAAATTTTTGTTGAATTACTGACCTTTTTTTAGGTGAGATTCACATAAAAAAACAAGTGTCAGGACTGTTTGCCTTATAACTTTTTTTGGGTTATTTTTCCTTTTCCCTTCACTTTAAAATGCTCATAAAATCATCCCAGTCAAAACATGAAAAAAACCATCAGACAAACCCAGATTGTGGGACACTCTCCAGGACACTTTGCTAGTATCTCTCAAGACAGTTAAACTCGAGAAAATCAATGAGAGGCTGAGAAACTGTCACAGGCCAGAGGAGACTGGGGAGACTGACAACGAAATGCAGTGTGGTCGCCTGGATTCGACCCTGGAACAGAAAGAGAATATTAATGGAAAAACTGGTAAAATCTGAATAAAGTCTGTGGTTTAGTTATTAATAATGTTCCAATGTCAGTTTCTTAGTTTTGACAAGTGTACGATGTTAATGTAAGATGTTAACCATGGGGCAAATGGGGAGGGGTGCACGTGGACTCTTTGTTCTATCTTAGCAACTTTTCTGCAAATTTCAAATTATTCCAAAATAAAAAGTATTTTTAAAAATGCTTGTGATAATACTTAAGGTATTTTTTTTATTTTTTGTATATTTCTAGACCCTTCGTGAAACATTTCTATATTTTAAATGATTTTTAAAAAGCCATATAGTCAAAGCCATATTGTACAATTTAAGAGCTAGTGATAATGTTCACCACTGTGACTGTAACTATTAGTAATAATGTTAAATGTATTTTGTAAATGTGAATAGAAATTTTCACCATAACTATGTTTTAACAAGGTTAAAAAGATCTTTAGTTAGTGTGATATGGCTTTGGAGCCAGACCAACCAGTTTTGAGATCCAAGCTCTGTTACTATGTCTATATAAGACCTCTCTGAACCTCTTTTTTCTCAACTAGAACATGGGAGTAATAATTTAGACCCTTGACATTTACCAATTTAACATTTGCGGTTTTGACCAGACAAGTTCATGACATATAGCACTCTATAATTGAGCTAAAGAGGAAATTTGAATTTTATACATTACCCAGAGTATAGAAGGCTGTATAGCTGAGTGGTTGAAAGAATAAGCTAAAAATTGATTACCTGAATTTGATTCCTACCTCTGTTATTATTATCTGTATGGCCTTCCTTGGATAGATCTCTTAAATTCAAAACGTTCAGTTTTCTTATCTGTAAAATGAGGATAATAATAGCCCTACCTTATAAGGTTATATCAAATAGTAATAATCACAAAACTATAACAGTTAAGATTGGTTGAAGATATATCATATATATCTCCAGCCCTGTTCTAGGTGCTTTACACATATTATTTCATTCAATTCTCTCAACAACTTTATGCATAACCACTACTATTATCCCCATCTTACAAGTGAGGAAATTGATATAAAGCCTTTCAAGCACTCAGCATACTGCCTGGCATATACTAAATATACAAAATCAATATATACTAGCTATAATTATCCCAGCACTAGAATGAGCCCCATGAGGGATGACACAACCCTAACAATGCCTGGCAGATAGTAGGTGCTTTTAAATATTTGTTGAATAAATAAACCAGGCATTTAGCTAGTGAATAAATTTTGTTAATCACTCAGCAACTATACTTTGATAAAGTTTCACTGCTGTCTACTCTTCACTTACTTAGTATCTCCATGAAAATGCTTAAAATTTTCTTTGTGGAAAATGC